GTTGGGTATTTCTCCGCGTTAAATATTGAATATCTATTTTCTGAGTAGTCTCGTGTTCACAGCTTTGTTGATTGTGTGGCTATTTTCCAATGCCACTACAAATTCACGGCCTTCGATATAGTGTTGGAAATGTCGTACAGCACAATACATAGCTAGGAGTTCCCTACCGAATGTGCTGTACCTCGATTCAGTGTCTAACAATCGTCTAGAGAAAAATGCCAATGGTTGCCGGGAGTTGCTAACCCATTGTTGTAAGACTCCTCTGATTGCCGAGTCGGATGCGTCTACTGCGATACTAATGGGTGCTTCGGTGTCCTGATATGCGAGCACTGTTGCTTTCGCGATAAGTTCCTCAACTGTGGAGAATGCTTTTCGTGCGGTGTCGTCCAAATTGATGGATTTCGCATTTCCACGAAGTTGATCGGTAAGAGGTTTCATACGTAATGCGCATTTCGGTGTGAAACGTCTATAGAAACTTACGAGGCCGTTAAACGTGCGTAATTGTTTGACGTTGGTCGGTTCTGGGTAATCCAGAATAACCGCCACTTTGGTCCTAAGGGGTCGAATGGCTTGAGCATCTATAGTGTGTCCTAGGAAGTTTAATGAGTCGGTCCCGATTGGCATTTCTGAACGTTTACAGTAATGCCACGTTTTTGTAGTCGTTCGAAAACAAGATCCAGATGCTTGAGATGTGATTCTCTGTCCGGACGTGCGATTAGGCAGTCGTCAACATACGCATGTACTAAGTTCAGACCTCGAAAGACGTCGTCTATGAATCTTTGGAATGTTTGACCAGCGTTCCTTAGCCCGAAAGGCATTTGCAAAGATTCATAGAGTCCGAAGGGAGTTATGATAGCCGTTTTCGGAATATCGTCAGTAGCCATAGGGATTCGGTTATACGCTTTAACCAAGTCGATTTTCGAAAAGACAGTTGTACCTTTCAAGGTAGCTGTCAAATCGTGAATGTGAGGCAACGGGTAACGATCGGGAATGGTTTTCGCGTTCAATCGCCGATAGTCGCCAGTTGGACGTCAATCGTTGCTGTCCTTTTTAGGGACTTTGTGCAACGGAGATGCATATGGGCTACTTGACGGTCGTATGATTCTTAAGTCTATCATGTGATCGAACTCGTTTTTCGCCAATCTTTGCTTTTCAGGAGCTAATCGTCGTGCTTCAGAGAATACAGGAGGTCCTGTAGTCGTGATGTGATGCGTAACATTGCTGGTTACACACGGTAGTTTCGGTTGAGTTTGTTGTATCCCAGGGTACTTATCGAGTAGTGGTTGATAGGGTGGGTCCATCATATGCTCAACTGTGACTGGGGATAATCTGCAACCAGTAAAAGAAGTTACGCAAACGGATATATTGGTGTTTCCGTCTACTAGCCTCCGTTTGCGAGTGTCGATGATCAGATTGTGGTGTTGTAGAAGATCCATACCAATGATTGGCATAGAAACATCTGCAACAACGAAGATCCAATGGATGGGTTTGCGAAAACCCATGTAGAATTTGCAGGAAGAACGCTAACTTCTGCACCAGTGTGACGAGGTAACGAACTGTCGTTGTCACATCTGTGACATACAACAGACGGATATGTTTGCCGGCCACGGTTGCCATCAACGCGTGCCGGCTTGGAAGTTTCCCGAATTGTTATTCGTGTCGCTTGATTTTGAGTTTGGAAAATTGCAGTTTTCTGCAATTTCTGTAAGACTTTCCATGCAGACCGTTTACGGTCGTTACGAAATCTAAGATAACGTGTAAGTGTATGATATAACTCTGTCATGTCATTCTGAGTGGTTTGAGGTTTTTCTTTGACTGAAAATACCACGGCATTACAAAATTTCATTATTTCTAAGATGCGTTCGGCAGGTGCACCCAGCTCGTCTACGGCGTTGTTTTGAAACGACACCAGTACAGCTTGCTCCTGTTGAGAAAGTTTGGATAAGAAATGTTGTCTGAATAAGCCATCATCGAATGTTCTTCGGGAGACAACCCCTCTCTTTCTTAACAACAGGGCTGTCAGAGAACCGTATTGCAGGCCGATGTTATTAAGGGGTTGGTCCAACCATTGTCGATCGGTCTGTTCCACATGGTTAGAGAGTGAATTTCAAATACTTCTGAGGTGAGTTTGTGTAGGTTCTCGGAACTGATAGAGTATTCTCATTTTATCGCGATGGTTGTGGTATGACACGATAGGGTCTTCGGGGTGGATGCCGAGTAGTAATAAGTACCACTCATGAGCCCGTAGGTAATGAAATTTTTGATTTGATCCGGAGAGGTTACAACTTGAGTTATTGACATCTTTGTTCGCAATCCCTATTGTCGGAATACGATGGAAAGTATTTTGGAAACCCTTTTCAGAAAACCTTTAATTTTCATCAAATCACTATGTGATTGTAAACGAACTGAACAAAAGTGATAAACATCATGCTCCAGACTGTCACGACAAGGCTAGTCAACGTGGACTTTGATGTAACTTTCGCGTAAAATGTTATCAGTTACGCAGTTTGATCATTGAAAACATGCAATCGAGAGATAGGCCCTTCATTCTAGTAGCATAACGAAGTGTTCTGATACCCACCTTGACCATAATTCTACACTCCTTTGAGTAAAAGAAAGATTCGCAGACGATGATGGACATTACAAGCTACCAGAAGAGTGTTTATCCACGGAAAGTTCATTTGCTTTAAACTTCTGACTGGTCAGGTTTTAGAATCATCACTAGTACCCTGGCCAGGGAGTGAGATGTGGCGACTAATAAATGGCTAAGACAAATAAGCATTTGAGCCCTCGACATTGATGTTCACCACATTAATTTTAATGATTATATCTGAAAGCGCTCGATCATTCATTTGCACCAGATCACGAGTGGGTAGGATGTTCTACGCATTCCTTGCAACCACTACCCAGCTCAGATCAATAGCTTTCCAGCACATCTTTGAACTTGTTCTTCCCTGACCTCTGATTTGACCAGGTTGGTGCCTTTCGATCATAAAGATGTTGCGGACAAAGACCTTGTCAACTCATATCTGTGGTATATCTAATAACAAAACACAAGCTTTTTGGGTAATGGTTGTATTACTGTATAAATTTTACAAACTATTACAAAAACTAAGTGTCTGGATTAAGTAGTTATAACGAAAATAAAGTAAAACTGATGGTGTTTACGATAGTTTTTTATGGCAAGTTGAATACTTTGATGTTAACGCCAATAACTATAGTTTATACGAATTAAGTAGTGCCTTGTGACTGATAATAGTAGGCTAGCAGAGAATGAGAAACATGTACCCACGGCTGTACTGAAATATGGCTGCTGTGACTGGCTAAGGGCCGTTAACAAGAAGTGTCGTTTGCAGCAAGGAAGATTAGAGTATAAATCAAACGCCGTCAAGATTATTTATGTAGGGGTATTGCTTACTGCTATATATCTTGTCTCTGGGAAAGTTGGTAGGTTCTATGCTGTGTATAAGCCTTTTCTCCCAATTTAAGCTAGCTTAAGCCTCTGAAGGCTAAAATAATTCCCCAAAATTACAATGTATTCAAAATGAAATAAGATTGGAATCTCAAATTCAGACTTGTGTAGTAAGGACAGAAGGCTTACGGCTTATGTTATTCCTCTCAAGTATGCTTCTGTGAGTGTCTAGCCTTCACTTGAATGAGTCAATTGAAGGTTCAGGTTCAAAGAATTGATGACTTGGTGTAAAAACCTCTATGAAGCTGGTATTTTGTTCGTTCTTGATTTTTCTACTCGCCTGCTATGCCCTTCGAGATGTCACGACCTGGTAGGAAGAAAAAGAGAGAATATATTAGGTTGAAATCATTTCTTAGTGTTCAGATCACCTCTTACTCTGTGATAGGGCAGAGTAAAGAGCTCTAGCTTTTCAAGCCGTCTTTGTATGGTAAACTCAGGAGTTCTGGAATTGTGTGGCTAGCCACCCTTTATACTTTTTACAGGATATCCGAGTCACATTTAAAACGGGAGCTTGCAACCTGGATGCTGTTCTCATGCTTAGTTCTCACTAAATTTGTATATACTGCGGTAAACACGGTAGTATCCAACTTGGTGAATATCTGTCTTGAAGCTCAGAGGGTTCAAAACCCTTAGCTGCTACCTCCCAGGAATGAACCGTGATCTTAAGGTCATGACTCACTGTCACCCAAAGATTATTGTGAGAGCAGACCACTGGTGCAGTCACTTCCCCCATGCTGTGCCTAACTACCTTTGTATCTCCGACGCGCATGTAGACACACTTTACCGTGTTGATAGGCATCAGCCAGGCAGACCAGCTAATCGCAATATTTAGGTCTGCTTGACATGGGTATGTATCTGCATCTTCTTTTATTTCTCTCCAAATTTTTCACTTCGTCAGCGTATAATGACGTTCCGTACTCTACTATAATTGGGGGATCATTTACATACAGTATAAAAGTAAAGGACCTAGGACCTTGACGTACTCCCCTAAGCACTGATATCCACGTGAAGCACTTTGAAGACTGTTGTACACAGAACTCTCGGTAATTTCTGTGTCCATCTAGTAAGCAAACGATACTTGTTAGAGTAAAACTTTTATTGGAGATGTCATTTAGAGCTCTTAGTTTTAAAGTGATTGTGTTCTTTATAATTTATGAACTATGTTTCATTGAATGTACTCATATGAAGCAGTTGAGAGTAATTCCAGACGCTTGAAATGGAATCTTCAGCAAACTTATTTACCGGATATTGCTCTTCAATATGCAGAACTCACTCACTAACTGGACAGAAGGTGGTAGAAAGTCCTGGGTTAACCTCCATCAAACTTTGAAATAGTCAGCCTCAAAATCAATAAGTCGGTTTGAAATTTTAAGATACAAAGATGTAAGTAGTTGATTGTAAGATATAGTTGTTAATTAATCTGCGTCTAGAGTGTTTGAATGAACTATTACTAAAATTTATATTACCCTGATACTGTTTCACTACACCATTTTGATAGTTGTAAATTAGTTGTCGTTTTAATGACTGAATGAGTTTCTGCAAAAATAGAATAAGCCACCGTCATCTTCAAGTTACCGTGATAATTTCTAGTTTGATAATCATAGTAAGATCTAATCTTTGATTGATTTTATAATTTAGGGATGTGCAGTTGCCTTGATTACTATTGGTAGTATATTTTATAGTTCAGTTCGTAAATACAATGGCAAACTTGAGACGACTGTCAAAGGAGTAATAAAATGCCTTGTCATAGTCGGATGTATCATGATTTTTTCTGGATTCCTAGGTCTCTTTGGATCTTGCTTAAATAGTAATGATGTACTTTGCTTGGTATATCTTCACACTTTATAGTTGAACTATTTAATTTTCATTGATTTTCAGTTTTCTGTTGGTTTGGTCACCATAATTATTGTTCAGCTTGGAACTGGAATAACATGTCTTTGTTATCATGTAAAGGCAAGTTTTTCGTTGGTGATGAGCTTTTATAGTTGTGGGATAATCTACATTTGAGCATGAAGAAAGCAGTTGAAAATTACCATTTCAATAAAACGATAAGCACCATTCTGGATAAAATTCATAGAGATGTAATTATCATTTCAAGCTTATTTGATTACAGCTTAAATGTTGTGGTTCACTTAATTACTTAGAATATGGAGATAAAATTCCCTCGTCCTGTCATGAAGATGGTTCCATTTACAAAAATGTATTGTCAAAATAACATGTTTTTACATTATTATTGTTTACTTGTTTATTTTCACGAGTATATGAGTGCATGCATCTTTCCGTAGTAGATTTGGTTATTGTATAAATCACTTATAAAATAGTTAGTTTGGTGGCACCATTGGATAACCAATAGTCTCTCTAGTATGTTATTAAGACGTTAAGCGACTTACAAACATATATACTAAACTTGAGACCCTGTCTGACTGTCCCTATGCTAATTTGTATTGCCTATTCACAATTACTTTGACTGCAGTAAAGCTGTGAAATTTTGGTTACAGCCCTTGATTTATAAAGTGGGTCTGCTTTATGATTTCAACGAGCTTCAAAATAAAAGTATGTTAGTAAACAATTAGCCTTTATACTACAAACAGGTTTCAAGTAAGCAAATACACTATCACTGAAGGAACTAACCACTGAAGTTTGAGTAAGTACACAATGGTTGGTAACTAGTCCGTAAAATACATTTTGTTGAACTACATGACTTATGAGCATTCTAGTTAGTGCGTTCAGTGGACAGTGACTTGTCACGTGTTAATCGCCAACATCATTCAGTGTGTATTGTCTGGATACAATTAATGTCACAAAGTGACACTCAAACTGTCATATTAATATGTATGTAGATCTTTTAGAAACCTTATTAATTGGTTCCCGTTTTGAGTCACTTTTTATGCTTTATTATGATCAGAAAATATCAGAACTGATAACAAAAAACAACCAGTTAGGTTATCTTTATATATATGAAAAAATACTAGACCCTAGAAATGCAAATTTTCAAATCGCAACACTACGGATCATTGTGGAACAATCAATTGAATGGAATTCATCACTCTACATCAACTTAATTAACTACGAGAATGCATTTGATAGCGTGGACAGGCCAACACAATGGAAGCTTCTTCGACACTACGGCGTAACTGAGATGATAGTAAATATCACACAGACTTCCTATGATGCGTCAAACTGCAAAATCGTGCATGGAGGACAATTGACAGACTCGTTCGAAGTAAAGACTGGTGTCAGGCAAGCTTGCTTACTCTCACTTTTCCTATTTCTCCTGCCGATCGACTGGATCATGAAGACGTCAACATCTGGAGGTAAGCATGGGATAAATTGGACAGCTAGGATGCAGCTGGACGATCTAAACTTTGCAGACGATCTGGCTCTTCTATCGCACACAGAACAACAAATGCAGGAGAAGACAACTAGTGTAGCAGCAGCCTCAACAGCAGTAGATCTCAATATACACAAAGGGAAAAGCAAGATCCTCTGATACAACACAACATGCAACAATCAAATCACACTTAATGGAGACGATTTGAAAGATGTAAAAACATTTACATATCCGAGCAGCATCATTGATGAACACGGTGGATCTGATGCAGATGAGAACGCGCGGATCGGAAAAGCAAGAGCAGCATATCTACAACTGAAGAACATCTGGGAATCAAAACAACTGTCTGTAAGCTAACACCAAGGTCAGAATTTTTAATACAAATGTCAACACAGTTCTAGGGTGTGGGGTGGAAACTTGGAACACTACGAACGCCATCATCCAGAGAATACAAGTGTTTATTAACAGCTGTCTACGCAAAATACTTCAGACGCTATCAGCAACAACCTACTATGGGATACAACAAATCAGATCCCAGAGGAAGAAGAAATCAGGAAGAAGCGCTGGAAGTGGATGGGACACATTGAGGAAAGCACCCAAATGCATCACAAGACAATCCCTCACATGAAATCTTCAAGGCCAAAGGAGGAGAATAAAACCAAAGAACACATTACGTCGGGAAATGGAGACAGATATAAGAATAATGAACAAATAGATGGAACTGGAAAGGAAGGCCCATGACAGAGTGGGTTAGAGAGTACTGGTCGGCTGCCTATGCTACATTGGGAGTAGCAGGCATAAGCAAGTAAGTAAAACATGTCAATTCGCAAACTCCGCATCATACTCTAATCTAGATAGATTGCGTTTGAACAATACTATTTTTTCACCCTCTACGAGAGGGTTTTTTAAAAATAAAAATTTATTTTAATTATTATTTGTAATAAATAACAATCTGTCATGGAAAACGGCACTCAAGACTAATTTATGAAGAACGTAATGATGCATTTTTCAGAAGTTGGTAAAGTTTTAATCTTTTGAGTGCTTACAGTCCATTAACTAATACCATCTATCCTTAAACATTTGAAAATTGGTGGGTACTGAATGTGTTCTATTTTTATGTTAAACGTTAAGCATTCTTGAGTTGTTTGCCAAGTACGTGAATGTTTTTACAGTCTCCTTGAAAGTCTCAGTGGCTGCGCTAGTTAGACTTCTACGGTGGTCATTTTCACGATTCCACTGAGTACATTACCTAACGAAAAGGTTAATTCTAACATTTTTTAGTCATTGTTTGGTTATGGTTCATATAAAAATAGGTTACAGCAAAATAATAAGGACTAAGCGATGGGAGCGTTTGGTTCTTGAGTAGCATCAAGACTATTTTATTGAGTATCGTCAAGCTTATTACGTTAGGCTTATTTAACAAGCTAAGAATGTTTGAGTGTTTTTATGGTCAACCTACTTGAATTTCAACTAAAAGAAAAATGATATCTGTTACCAGAAAGAGGGCTTATTGCAAATAACTTTAATACGTTGTTTAAACATATATTGACTTTCTTAAGTAATTTTCTACTAGTGATAATGTCTTGCCATTTTCATACAGGGCTAGGATGATATGCCCCTTTATTTATCCTTCAGTTTATGAAGCACATAATGTCAAATATCCTGTAGAATTACTCGTAGAAAGTGTTTTGTGCCCCCTTCTAGATATTCCTAAAGCTAATTGTTAGCTGTCGGCTCTTAAGTATAGTTTAGTCAATATCCACGACTTAAAATACTTTGATGTTCTTCGCCTTTTCTAAACTTAGTGTACGTTTAGTTTTTAGGCAGAAATGAGCTACTGCTTGACCAGACTTTTATTGTACAACTCACAAACTGTTTAAAAGCCATACGTCGTATTTACGCATATATGTGCTGTAATAGGCCTATCCGTTTACAGTATCACACACAAAAACGCAAAGTTATGTACCTTTCAAGTGTTTTTACTGAAGTTAGTTATGGGAGGGGTGGTTTATGCTGAAATATCAACTCAACTAAAAATAATGTAAACCAGGAGTTATACCTTGTCGAATCCTTCATGAGTTCCACAAGAGCAGATTTTATAACTTTTGTCTAGAGCTCATTCAAACAAGCCTTCCAAAAGATTCGTTTTCAGATGTTTAGGGTCTGTGATGTACAAACTGAAATCTAAGGTTAAAGTCTATCTAGAAATATATCACATACTTTACAATTACGACTACAATAAACTAGATCCTCCAATAGCTCTCATATTTCGGGTAGCTTTCATGAGACAATTTCTCAATAGTGAAAAGTATGTTATTTCTGATCAGTATTACTCCAGCCCCTACAAACTATAAGTTTTTTCTTTACTTTTACGAAATTTTGGAAATCGAGATCACGGTTCTCCACGGGTGGAGTCAGCCGTATTTCCTTCACTGTGATTGTGTGTAGTCTGTAAGATTCATTTTACTTAAAAGACTATGTTTTTTAAGGTAGTTTAGTCACCACTAGCTTTCTAAGTCTCAAGCACAAAAATCTTTACCTATGAGGCCCCTAAATGCCTTGATACGGTCAAGAGTGGGGAGAGTTCGCTCTCCCTCTCGAAATGCTCTCACATGGCCACGCGTATATAGCCTCTGCCAGGGAAGTCCTACTCACTGCCTTCTCGTGGCACTACTGTTGTTTACGAAAATGAGAGGACGAAAGCGAATGTCCGGCGCTTTAGCCGGATTTCAAACCAATGGTGCACATGGGCTTTAGTATCCTGAAGGAACAAATGGCGTATGAAGCAATTGTTGGTCACCGGCTACCATGGGACTGCATCTCCTTACGATGCTCCACTGTCTTGTGGATCAGACCTTCAGGTCGAAGGCTCGGGGTGTGGTCCTTTAAGAAAAACTACCTCCTTCGGTTTGGGCACCCGTGCAGTATCACAGCTCTCACACAAGTCAAATGAGATTTGTGTGGCGCATGTGTATTTGGTGCCCCCTTGTACCAATATCTATGTGTTAAAATAAATAATAAATGATGAGGCCTGTGCTATTTTTACCCTGTTGTCACAGTAAGCATTACGTACTAATATAATTTACAAATATTCCCTAGTAGAACGAATGCATGGAGTGTATGTATTACGAAAATCACGTTCCTCACCAAAAAATCGATTTTACTGAAATTAAAAATTAAGTGCAGAGATCTTGTTGCTGAATGAGATGAATGAATCTTTATGTCGAAAGGTACCACCAGTTCATTGTTTTCGATTAGGATTTTCCTAATGCATGAAAGTTAAATGAATGATCAGACGAATCTAATAAATATTCTCATTTTTAATGATCACTGTAATGCTTCCTTTATCAACTGTAATAATTACAGTATTCTTCAAGTTGTTAACGATCTTTTGTGATTGTACACTCAATTAAGTTTGATGAGATGAAATATTAAATATTATTCAAGTAACTATACATTCTTTTCTACAGTCATATAATCAATAATATTACTTTATTTTACAGGGTTGTACTGATGTATTAAATCAATTCGGTGGCCGATTTCTAACTATTGGTACAGTTTTTTCATTTATGTTCATAATCCTTGAAATAATAACAATTGGATGTTCCATATATTTAACTGCATATATCGATGCAAAAGATCAGAGATGACGTTATTATTATTATTTGTTGTCGTATCAATCACTGAGATTATTATTATTATTATGAATAGTTAAGAAGTCATTGAAATTAGTACACTATTGATCTTTTGCAAAATGATTTACAATATCTTTGTAAGTAAATAAGATGTAATTAGAAATCATTATTATATTTACATCTTTTTTTATGTAAATACTTTATATTTGTCTTTCACTTTTATTTTTCAAGTTGTTGAGTAAATAAAACATCTCATAACAATTTATCCATTTAGAAGAATCCTTTAAAAGATGTTCATTTGAAAGTTAGATAGTCATTTGTGTTATTCAAAGATTATAGTTCTATGAATGATTGTATTATTGGTTGAAATCATGAGTCAATTGAAGCCAAACCACCATGGAAAACCTGGAAGCACTGGACGGCCGTTCCGTCCTAGTATGGGACTTCTCAGCAGTGCGCATCCACAATCCCGCACCCCGCTGGATTCGAACCCAGGACCTACTAGCTTCGCGCGCGAGCATTTAACCATCAGACCACTGAGCTCGCATCCACTGGTGTTAATGTCTAACTTCAACCAATCCACGAAGTTGCGCCACCGTACACCATTGTCTTCAGTGAGTTCCTATCCCACAACAGACCTGGTTGAACTCCACTGGTACTGACTTCTCACTAGAACTCCAAGAGTGTCTCCTGAGGTCAGTCACTAGTGAGCAGGTGATTATTATTATCAGAATGGGTTTTGTGGAGATTTTTAGAAATTACACTGGTTGAAATCATGAGTAGATTGAATCTAGACCACCGTGGAAAACCTGGAAGCACTGAACGGCCGTTTCGTCTTAGTATGGGACTCCTCATCAGTGCGCATCCACGATTGTATTTTTTTAAAAATCCAACCAGTTTTATATATGGAATGTGAATTTTATAATTTCTAATCAATATATTGTTACTGGATGAGGAAATTGAAAAGACATGAGAACAATATAATCAGTTGTGTAAACAGGGTAACTGTGAATGTTTTCATGAAGATGGTTAAGTATCAGTAATCAAGAAATCTGTATTGAAACAATCGTTGTGATATTATGTATTGTTAATTGTCTGAATTGTCTCGTTGTTGATTGTAAGGAACATAGTTATTCAATTTCTTATTGAAGTATGTGCACTCTGAGTGGGCTGCCACACTATTATCATTAAGTTACAAGTAATTTTAATCAAATTTGGAAGATTCAAACCCTTACAAATGAATTATAGTTCATATCCGAGACACAAGCTATTAGCTATCTCGACTCTGTAGTTAAGTGGATGATGTGTTGAGTGGTTTTAAAGAGAAATCTACTAGGTTTAAGTCCCAGTGTGAACGTTAATACGAGTCCAGGTCTCTAATGGGACGAAACTTGCATCCTGAATTCCACAGTTAGCCAGTATCTACCTGTGATAATTAGAAGTATTTGAATTATTGCACGAATTAGGAATCCCATAAACAACGCAATTTAGACCAAGAAAAACTAGATGAGCACTAATGAACGTATTGTATTCAGAATTCGAAGTCAGGCAGTCATCAAGTTCATATAAATACCACACTAATTCTGTCTTGAAGAGCTTGTGACTTAATGGCAATTTTAAGGCAATCCACTAAGAATGCACATGTATCAAGAAGAGACTAATTACAATATTTGGCATCAACAGCGGACTAACTCTAAACCATTACAAATACATTATTTATGATTATGAAAAGTACTTTTTCAATGACCAGTTATCATTGGATTTTTAATCCTATTCCTTCTTTAGTCATAATAAAATTGTTTAGAGAGGTAACTTCATAAGCCATAGAGTAATTAACTATCATCCCCTATTCTCATTTCAAACATATGTGTACTACTGAACGAAGGAATTATATAACCGTATTGTTTTCAAAGTTGAGTTTAGCCAACAGAACAAGAATAAGCAAATAATTCACTAACTCTCGTATTTATAAACCTCTTCATAAACTTTTTCACCGATAAATTATTTTTTATCAGTATAGGTGTCATGGAGATTAATAAGTTTTTGATTGAGATCATGAACCGATTGATGTTGGACCACCGTTGGAAACCTGGAAGCACTGGACGGCCGTTTCGTCCTATTGTGGGACTCAGAAGTGCGCATCCACGATCCCGCTTGCGAGACTCGAATCGAGTGCCTTCAGTCTCGTGCGCGAACGCTTAACCTACTCGATTGGTTGGTGTTAGACACTACACCATTGGATTTCGGCTCAGTGGTCCAGTAGGTCAAGGGTTTGCGCGCGAGACTGAAGGTCCTGAATTCGAATCCCGCGAGCGGGATCGTGGATGTGCGCTGCTGAGTTCCACAATGGGACGAAACAATCGTCTAACGCTTCCAGGTTTCCAACGGTGGTCCGACATCAAGCAGTTCACGATCTCAATCAAAAAATTAGTTTTTATCTAAATGAGCATTGAGTTAATTTTCAAATGTTTTATTTACCAAGTGCTTAGCTTATCACTACAGTTTTACTCAAAATGATGTGATAAAATTCGCAAACTAAAATTATTCAGATATATGTTAAATAACTTTATATGTACAGTTGTTGAAATCTGTGATCATTTAGGTTTAAACAGTATAGAATATTATAACCAGAAAATTTTCATTTCAGTTCAAACCCAAACAACATACCAACATTTTACTGAAATACCTTCAAATGTACAAATAGAGGATTGATAATTGTATTCAGTTAAACGGGATCAAATATGTTATTAAATAACTGAAAATACAAATACATTCCGAGTATTTTACATCAGTAAATGTTTTCGTAATACTTACTTAATCCTATTACTCCCAATGGAGCATAGGCTGTCGACCAACATTCTCCAACCCACTCTGTCTTGGGCCTTCTTTTCTAGTTCCATCCAATTTTTGTTCATTTTTCTCATATCTATCTCCATTTCCCGGCGTAATGTGTTCTTTGGTCTTCCCCTTTTCCTTTGCCTAGAGGATTCTATGTGAGGGCTTGTCTTGTGACGCAGTTGGGTGCTTTCCTCAATCTGTGTCTTATCCACTTCCCGCGCCTCTTCCTGATTTCTTCCTCCACTTGAATCTGGTTTGTTCTCTCCCATGGTCGATTGTTGCTGATAGTATCTGGTCAACGGATCCGAAGTATTTTCCGTAGACAACTGTCAATAAACACCTGTATCTTCTGAATGATGGCTTTCATAGTTTTCCAAGTTTCCACCCCATACAGTATTGAACATTCTGACCTTGGTGTTAGCTTACAGACAGTTGTTTTGATTCCCAGATGTTCTTCAGTTGTAGATATGCTGCTCTTGCTTTTCCGATCCGCGCGTTCTCATCTGCATCAGATCCACCGTGTTCATCAATGATGCTGCTCGGATATGTAAATGTTTTTACATCTTTCAAATCGTCTCCATTAAGTGTGATTTGATTGTTGCATGTTGTGTTGTATCAGAGGATCTTGCTTTTTCCCTTTGTGTATATTGAGATCTACTGCTGTTGAGGCTGCTGCTACACTAGTTGTCTTCTCCTGCATTTGTTGTTCTGTGTGCGATAGAAGAGCCAGATCGTCTGCAAAGTTTAGATCGTCCAGCTGCATCCTAGCTGTCCAATTTATCCCATGCTTACCTCCAGATGTTGACGTCTTCATGATCCAGTCGATCGGCAGGAGAAATAGGAAAAGTGAGAGTAAGCAAGCTTGCCTGACACCAGTCTTTACTTCGAACGAGTCTGTCAATTGTCCTCCATGCACGATTTTGCAGTTTGACGCATCATAGGAAGTCTGTGTGATATTTACTATCATCTCAGTTACGCCGTAGTGTCGAAGAAGCTTCCATTGTGTTGGCCTGTCCACGCTATCAAATGCATTCTCGTAGTTAATTAAGTTGATGTAGAGTGATGAATTCCATTCAATTGATTGTTCCACAATGATCCGTAGTGTTGCGATTTGAAAATTTGCATTTCTAGGGTCTAGTATTTTTTCATTTTCGAGAAAATGATTTCATAATGGTAATAATTACATGATAATAGTTTTATTGTTTGTCATATATTTAACAATACGGAATTGTTGGCGTTATCAGGTGATTAGTACTAGTACATAGCCTTAGTAACAGATCAGTCATACAAAATTTGAAACCATGTTTGTTTTCGTTTTTTTATTATTTAGAAATAGTTTGTACTCACATAAAACCTACCTTAGTAATAAAGGTCTCTGATGATATTAAAGTTAATAGGGGTGATATTATGATTACATCATAACGGAATGTCTATTGGTTTTTTATTTACATTTCGTAGATAAAGATCTTAACAAGTTAATAAGTGATTCAATTGTTATTTAAAATGTATAAATCTATTAATATAGGACAAACTATTTTAAATTTAATAATTTAATTTGTTTATATAAGACAGCGATAAATAATGTAAAACTTGACACAAAGTCTCATCGATTTAATTATAATCAACACATCAACACAATGTGAGATAGAATAGAAATGATATCAAAAGAAATAGAAAGGAACGATTATGAAGAGTATGGAATGTGAAAACCAACTAAAGATTTAAATAGGGGATTTTAGATTAAAGGTATACATACCATTAAAATCTGATTTTGAACCATTTTACTAAAAATGACAATTATTCGTGATAAATAACGAAAGTAAGGTCAAAAGTTATAAATAAGTTGAATTCATGAGTTAATTGAGGCTAAACCACCCTGGAAACTAGGAAGCACTGGACGACTGTTTCGTCCTAGTATGGAACTTCTCAGCAGTGCGCACCCACGACCCCGCCTTAAGAGATTCGAACCCAGGATCTATCGGTACCGCGCGTGAACGCTTAACTTATGGGCATATGATCATATGCTCACTAGTGACGATCTGCAAAAGGCATTTCTTGGAGTTCTAGTGAGAGTCCGTGACCACTGGAATTCAACCGGGTCTGTTGTAAGATGGTAACTCACTGAAGACAATGGTGGGCGGTGGCTCAATTTTGCGGATTGGTTGAAGTTAGATATT